GTGGGGTTGGGGGACCTCGGCGCGGGGCGGGGGGGGGGGTTGGCGGCTCTGGCCCTTGGGACTGCTTAGAGACAAAGCTGGGAAGGTGGCCAGGGAGGGCCAGGGGAGGGGCAGTGGGACCCCTTGACCTCAAGGAACTCGCCGTCTCGCTGGAGGGGACACAGCGGTGGGCGTGCCTGGGCTGGGGAGGTTGGCTAAAGCAGTCAGGGAAGGCTGTCACTGGGAGGCTGTGGACGTGTACACAGGGCCTCTCGTGGCGGAGACCACTGGTGCACAGGTGTGGAGGCAGGAGTGGTGGGCTCTGGTGCATGGGTACTGGCGAGCCGTTGCAGGCGGCCAAGCTGGGGAGGGACGTCGCGGGATCGGGTTTGGGGACCATAGGGCGTAAGGCAATGTAGAGGAGGGTGAGGCGGGAGTCCTGGAGGGGGCAAGGGCCTTTTGGAGGCCGGTGCACACCCAGGTCAGAGGTAGGAGGCTCTTCAGCAGCAGACACACTGGCCCCAAACACTTTGTGGAGGGGCCCGTCAGGGGCAAGGAGGGCCGTACTTGCGCTGTGTTGGGCTTACCTTTCCACGAGCTTTTAGCAGCGCCTCGTATTTATGCCAGGTGTCTGCCCTCAGGAGCTCTGGCCCCACCCAGGGGCTCACCTCGTTTTACAGATGGGGACGTTGACACTAGGCCAGTATGCTGCTGGCCCATCCGGGGTTTGAACCCTTGGTTGCCTGGTTCCTGGGCCTGTGTTCTAACACACCGCACTGCTGGCAGGACGTGTGGCGGGGGGGTGTGCTTTGTGAGCAGGGAGGGATCAGGGTGGGAGCTGGAGGCGGGCCAGTCTGAAACCTACCCCGGCCCCCAGGGCAGTGACTTCCTGGGCCCTGTGGCTGTGTGTGCACCTGACCAGGTCCACGCCTTTACCCCTGGGAGGGTCGGTCGCAGGTGCAGGTGGGGTCGAATTCGGGATATGCCTTCTCTGCCCAGCCTGGCCACTGGATCACCTCTGGCCTGGAATGAACGGCTTCCCAGTGAGTGCCCCGCTGGACCCCAGCCCAGCAGAGCGTAGTGGGGGGCTGGGGCAGAGGCTTAACCTGGACCAGGACTCAGGAGCCCGAGAAGGGTGAGCTGCCTCCTCGACCAGCTGCATCGGCATCCCCAGAGACATCGGGGCCGAGCTCCTGGCCTGGGGTAAAATGGCAGGCAGCCCAGGGCGGGACTCAGAAATCAGACCCTGGGCCGCCTCCCCTGTGGCCTCGCAGGGCACACGGCCCTAACTGGTCGGCGTTTGGATCTGAGATTGTTTTCAGAGACCGAGAGGCCATGTGACAGCGTGGAAAACACATCACGCCGGCCCAGGACGGGCCTCGTTCTCCCTTGGCCTGATCTTGGGTGCGTCCGTCCCCTCTCTGGGGTCCTCATCTATGAACTAAAGACGGTAGCAGGAAATTGAAAATCCCTCCAGGCTCTTAAAGCACCAGGTTTGAGTCTCGGAAGTAACAGGAAGGCCTAACTGCAGAGTTGGGGGGGACCCCCGCTGGCGCTGGTGGCCTGGGCTTGTCCTGCCTCGCTTGGTCCACTGTGGCCCATCCGAGTCACCTTGCCTGGGTGTCTGAGAGGGGTGAAGACAGCCCAGAACCCTGGCTAGCCCCAGCGCCCGCAAGGAGCAGTGGAGATAAACGAGTGAGGCTCCTGCCTGGCTGTGGGAGTGCTTCCCACCAGTCCTCCTGCGGGAGAGGCTGGTGCCCGGAGCTTGTTCTGAGTTCTGCAGCTGCCCCAGGTTCCTGGCCCTCCCGCCCTGCCACCCCCCTGCTGATGGCCTCTTTATCTTCCTTCGGCTTCTTCCTCCCGTCCCCTCCTGTCCCTTTTTGTCCTTTTCCAGGCCTTGCCTTTTTTCAGACCGACCAGAGAGTGGTTAAGTGTTTGAGCTTCAGAAAGAGCCTCTGTCTGCAGAGCCCACACACACCCAGCAGCCAGGGAAGCGCTAATTAAGGAGGTTGCTGCTCACTCAGCGCAGGAGGGCCCGCAGAGCCTGCGCAGGCTCCAGAGGGCTCAGGCTACCCCGGGGAGGTGGATCCTGTGACCCGCAGTACTTTCAGCCTCCATAGGGAGGACACAGCCGAACACTCGCTCCTATGGGGTCTATGCCGTGATCCCTGAAGGAAACTGCTGCTGCCTGTGATGACGAGTTGTAAGGAGTTCATCGCATTAGCCACTTCTTCCAGGGAGCCCTCCAGATGACACTAGGCATATTTTTCCCTCCCCTGCCCCTTCCCGGTTCTCTGTACTCCAGGACCTGGTTTTGCTGGAAAGGGTCTTCGTCATTACGTCCCGCCCACAGTGTGGGAGACTCAGTCTGCGTGGTTAGCTCAGGGTTTCTGACCCTGTGATTTTTGTGGAATCGCCATGCTAGATTGACAAGGGCCGTGAAATTTGGGGCTCATGCCTTGGCCCGGTTCCGTAGCCCCCTCGCTCTCCTTATTTATTTTCCATAATTGCCATAGGGTGCATGCACTCACCAGAGAGAGGGAGCTGGAGAAAGCACCCCCAGGGCCTGGTCACACCACGACCCTGCCATACCGTCGGGATTCGGGCACATGTACACCAGGAGTGTTGGCAAGCCTCCAGGGTGGGCCCCAGGCCCTCAGCCACCGTCCAGGCTTTTCTTCATTAGCAGGATAAACCCCTGGTTATTGAAGTAGCCTAGGATGAGGAAGTCCAAAAGGGCCCGCCGTCCCAGCACTCGGAGAGAGCCCTAGAGCACAGCCGCCACACTAGTTCTGGCCCCGTTTGCAGTTCGGATAATAGATTATACTGTGCTTTTAAAATTTTTTCATGTATTTAAAATTTTTTTAGAGACATTTTTGCTATAAGGTGCATGTACTCACCAGAGAGACAGAGAGAAAGAGAGAGAGTAAGAAATTGCCCCCGGAGGGATGGCCACACCGCAGTCCCTTCTCTTGTTCTCCCCTCAGGATTTCGGGCACCCACATGAACCTGGTGAATTTCCAGCCTCTGGGTCCAGGACTCGAACCACAGTCAGCCATGTGGGAGTTCAGCAACAACCGTTTTGCTATTTGCTGGTCCCTTAAATTAGTATCACTATTTTATTTGTTCATTTTGATACAGGGTGTGTACACTAACCAGAGACAGAGGGGATGATGGCCACACTACAAGCTCTCCTCCCTTCTCCTGGGATTTCGGGCATGCCCACACATGTGCCTGGCATGTTTCATAAGCTGCCAGGTCCGGGACCCGAACCACACAGTTGGCCATATGGGATCCAGCGGCCTCAACTGTCATGCCACTGGCTGGCCCTCTGCTTTTTGCATAACAGATCCACGGCTGTCTCCTGAGGTACCCCACGGCCCGCCCCCCTGTGTGGGTGCCTGTGCGGTGTCTGGGGCTCAGTTCAGCCTTCACGGGAGGAGCCTGCTCCCCGCTACGCGTGCCTGGGGTCCGTGGCTCCCAGCGTGTTCATGAACTCGGCTTTTCCGCAGAGCAGCACAGGAGCGGGCAGAGTTGGAGCTGTGTGTGTGCCGGGTCCCTGCGATGAGTCAGAAGAGAGCAGCCGGTGGCATAGGGGGACTCGCTGGCCGCGGCCTCTGCCTGCTCTCGGCAGCCCCGAGGAGGACACGGGGTCCGGGCCTCGCCTTGGCAGTGACACTGGAGTCCCCGGATCGTGCGTGTGGCCAGCGCTTGCTTAGAGCCTGCCCAGGCGCTTAGGGCCCGGGGATGGTGGCTTTGTCAGTCGACGGAAGGAAGGATAAGCCCACCTGGTCACGCTCTGACCCTCTTTGCCTGCAGGAGGCCTCAGCGGGGCGACTGTCATTGACTCCCTCGACACCCTCTACCTCATGGAGCTGAAGGAGGAGTTCCAGGAGGCCCAGGCCTGGGTGGAAGAGAGCTTTCACCTGAACGTGGTGAGTGATGACCCGCTGTCAGGCCAGGGCGGCCACCCTGTCGCCTCAGACCTGGAGCCAGAGGGAGGCCACGTGGCACAGCAGTTCTGGAACCCAAGTCCCCTCCCTAAAGATAGGCTCAGGGATGGGATGTCAGTCGTCACTCACTCCGGGTACAGCCGCCCTGGGACAGCCGTCCTGGCAGCTCTGCCACAGGAAGCAGCAGCAGTGGGCTGGCCCGGCTGCCTGGGGGAGCAGCTTCTCCACTCCGCTCCTCCACGGGAGCTGCTCTGTGCTGAGCCCGGCCGCCCTCCTGAGAGGCTGGGGGCAGGTGGGGGGTGCACCTGCTCGTGGCCCGGAGCAGGCTTGGGACCCGCTTGGTTTCCAGCCTTGCAGGGCAAGGTCCTCACAGAAGGGACAGTAACATGTCCAGGTAGCACAAGAGCCTTGAACACAGACTTCACCCCCATCGGTGCCCCAGGGTCTGCCCTGGAGGCCTCAGCTCACCATGGGAGAAGCCCTACGTGGACCTGGGGAGTGAGAAATGGAGAGACGGGAAGAGGCCAGGTGCCGTGCAGGGATCCTCAGGGCCAGGGATCCTCAGGGCCAGGCCCTCACGCACAGGGATCTGGGGACGGCTCCTGGCACAAGGCAAGCCTCTGCCTCCGTGGGAGCACAGGGCTAGGTGGAGACCATCTGAAAGGCCTGGGCCCCTCAAGTCCTGGCTGTCACGCACCCCTGGGAAGTCGCTTAAGCTCCGCAGCCTTCCTCTGCTGTGAGATGGGAGTGACCACCGCCACAGTGATAGTAATGCCTACTCCATAGGCTCACTGTGCGGCTGGCATGATGGAGGGTGGCCACGGGCATTTCAAAACACTGTAACGTCTGTGATGATGGAAGGCGGTGTCCCTGTCCTTGTACTTCTTAGAATTCCCAGGCCTGTCATGGCTGCTAGTCGGTGTGAGGCCAAGGCCATCTGGGATCCACTCACCCCCTCCTCTGCTGAGTTGAATAAAGCAGAGGCAGGAGAAGGAAGGAGGATCTCCGCAGGCCTCCCTGCCCAGTGCCCGGGATCCTCAGGCAGGCCAGGGCAGGTGGGGTGTGCCCGAGGAAGCAAGGTGGGCTCACTGCAGCCTCTCGGAACCTCGGCTGTCGTCTGGAAGTCAGGAATGGCGAAGCCTGCACACCCACTGAGTGCTGTGAGGAGAGACGGGAGAGTGCTTTATTGGTGGGGAAGCTCTCCTGGATGAGCAGATGTCCCTGTGGGGACCAGTAATAGAACCCGTGATGCAGAAGGTGTGCAGAGGGAGCCCTCTGGGGCCAGGGAGGTGACAGCAGGCCCCTTTGCAGGCCATGCCCAGCTCTGGGCGGGCACCTCACCTCAGCTCCACTCTACAAATGAAGCAACTCAGGCAGGGAGAGGCTGACAGCTTGCTCGATGTCCCAAAGCCAAGTAAGTAGGTCAGGTTGGGTTTCAGCCCAGACGTGGTCCTTGGCGTGATGGCTCCGCACCCCGATTTGCAGTCCCAACTTAAGAGAGAAGACAGTAGTGATTAGGCCGCTCCAGGGCTGAGGGCCTGTACACTTGCCAGTCACCACACAGGTCCTGCCTGGCACCCGCCCCTCAGCCCTGGCCCTGCTTCCTCTACACCACAGCAGCCTTCTAGAACCTTCCCCACGCCCTGTCACCCGAGAGAAGGGCCCTGCTGTCCTGCTAAGCCGCAGTCGCTCCCCGGGAAGGGAGGTGCCTGCCCAGAGCGGGCTTTGCCTCCCCTGGCTAAGCTTCTCCTGCAGCTCCTTGGAGTGTGGCCAGGCCTGGGAAGCTGTAGACACGTAGCTCCCCACCAAGCATCGCCTGGCTCACTGGGATGCCTTGGAACAGGTGCAGGTATTCGGGGGTGTCTCACACGTGTCCCGTCCTCTGTCTGCAGAGCGGAGAAGCATCCTTGTTTGAGGTGAACATCCGCTACATCGGGGGCCTCCTCTCGGCCTACTACCTGACGGGAGAAGAGGTGAGTTGGCCTTCGAGACCCCTGGACTGTCTAGGCGGGACAGGCCACTGTGGGCCGTCAGTCCGACCCCTCACTCACCGGTGCAGACAGGCTAAGGGGCAGGAAGTATCCAGGAGCCCTGTGACCCTGTTTCCCACAGGGGCCTGTTTTCCAGGCGTCTCCTCAAGACTCCACTCCTTTTCTCTCTCATGTCTGAGTTCTGCCGTGAGCCCAGCCGGCTCCCACAGCTGGTCGTAAATCCTCAGGGCAGCAAGTGAGCCCCTCGCCCACCCAGACCCCACATGGCACCCGCAAACAGCCGGCTGGTTTTCACGGGGGTGGGTTCTCAGAACTGACAGGGCTCAGAGCTTGTTCACCACTTCCACACCCCAGGGCCCTCAACTTTGTCCTACCCAGAGCTACCCCGTTTCCTCCTGTCCCGCCAACCAGACGCCCTCCCCAGGTCCCGGGGGGGTAGCCAGGGAGGAGGGGCCTCACTCCAGGGTGAGCTGAGCTGGCCTCTAGGTGGAGGCGGGGTGTGGCGTGAAGCCACGCAAGGTCAGGAAACTGGACCTCGTTCCCCACCACGCTCCTGCTTGTGAGCAGGCCTCTCCTCTCCCCAGCCTCACTTCCTTCCCCATTCTCCACTCTGCAAAGTTTTACAAACCGCAGAGCTCCGGAGACCCGGGAGGCTTCCTCGGCCCGCCTGGCAAGCTCCTGTGTGCGCGCACCCGAGTGTCTGCCGCGAGGCAGCCATGGCCCGGGCTGGTCGCTGGTCCACTCTGCTCGCCATCACAGCTCAGCAGCAGCCGGTCTCTGGGGCCCTTTCTTTCCCTGCACGACCCCTGTTCCTGCACCAAGGGACAGACCTTGACCCCTGGCCCCGCCGCCCTGGGAGCCGTGGAGCAGCTGCAGGAAACACTTCCCTCTGCCTGTTGTCTAGAAAGCGACTCTGCCACCCACAACCACTGGCACAGCGCAGTGGGTGCAGAGGTGGCAGACGCCTGTGCTCGCTGGCTGTCACCGCGGGCCTCTCCCGCCAAGCGTCATCAGAGACGGCTGCTTATAGTTTTTCCCCAAGTCACTGCAGATGTGAGCCCCCAGTTCGAGCCACACAGAGCCTAGATTTCATTGAAAGCCCAGGCCAGGAGAGAGGTGACAGAGGAGCTAGAGAAAGGCATCCCGTCCTCCTCGGGCATTTGCTCAGCCCCGCCATGGCATGGTCCACGGATTCGGGGTGCAAGAAGGGAGGGTGGGGGTCAGCATTGCAGGAAGGAGCTCGTGGCTCCCTGGACCCTCAGCTCGCCCCCTCCCTCTGCTCCCTCCTTCCCTGAGGGCACCTGTGGTCCTTAGAACCAACTTTGCGGTGTCCACTCCCTGGAAGGGGCCGTCAGCTGACTTCCCGGGGTGTAGACCACACGGCAGGCTGTGATAGGAACACCTGTGACTTAGATCAGAGGGCTCAGGAGGGAGCCCAAAGCCCCGGATGGCAGGCTCCTGAGCGCCCCTGGGCAGCCCTGCCTCGGCCACTCCCCACATCCCTTCCCACACCCCAGCACCTTCCCATGCAGATGCCGCGCTGAGCCTTAGTGCTCGGCCTTCCAGGAGCTTCAGACTGTTGGTGGGATTGTCACTCATCTACAGTTGAGGAAACGAGACCGGGAAGGAGGAGCTCGCTCCGGCCTTGGCGGGCCGAGCTGGGCCCGACTCCTGACAGTGAGCCTTTCCGTTCTCCTGGCCCGGTGGCGCCGCTCATGAGCAGGCTCCCTCCTGCCTGCCCCACACAGCCGTGTGCCCTCGAGGGGGCCTTTCCTTCTTAGCGTTCCCCTCGGGGGTCTGTGGGCCGAGTGTTAGGAGATCCGCCTCTTCCTGGGCCCAGAGGGAAGCTCCGGGGGCTGAGTCCCACACGAGGGGCGCCTTCTCCATGCCACAGAATGTGGTTCTTGCCACTCTCTCACCCCAGCCTGGACCTGCAGCCAGTGGGCCATAGCCCTGAGCTGGCCAGGCGGCCTGGGCACAGCCTCCCCTCCCGGACAGCTGGGGCAGGGACGCGCTCAGAGTTAACTGGGCGTCCTTAGGGCCGGGGGCAGCCAGACAGCATCTAGAGGGGTTGGTGAAGTTCACGTACTTGCCCCTCCGGGCCCGTGAGACGAGGCCTCGAGGGCATCTCCCTGTTACAGCAGTGGCTTCACACCTGCAGCCCCCGAGCTGACCCTGGCGCCCTTGGGGCTTTGGAATCTGGATTCTAGGCCAGCCTTGCAGGGGCTTCTGGTGTGGCTGTCGTCGCGCCCACTTCTGGGACTCGGGCTGGGCCCTAGCTCATGCTCTGGCCCCTCGAGCGGGCCGCACACAGCTCTTCTCTCAGGAAGGCTTTGCCTGCTGTGACGTGGGAGCCCGCAGGCCACGTCGCCTCAAGCTCCGGAGGTGAGAAGACACCACTGTGTCCTCCGTGAGTGGCACGTGGGGACGGGGCTGTCTTTACACATCAGCGACACTGCTGCAGGTTCGGTTCCCTTACGAAGATCACACGGGACCAGCAGTTGTAATGGCTATGTCGCTGGACTCCCACGTAGTCAACCGCAGTTTGAGTCCTAAACCCGGTGGCTTAAACTCACGCCAGGCATGGTCCACGGATTCGGGGTGCAAGAAGGGAGGGTGGGGGTCAGCATTGCAGGAAGGAGCTCGTGGCTCCCTGGACCCTCAGCTCGCCCCCTCCCTCTGCTCCCTCCTTCCCTGAGGGCACCTGTGGTCCTTAGAACCAACTTTGCGGTGTCCACTCCCTGGAAGGGGCCGTCAGCTGACTTCCCGGGGTGTAGACCACACGGCAGGCTGTGATAGGAACACCTGTGACTTAGATCAGAGGGCTCAGGAGGGAGCCCAAAGCCCCGGATGGCAGGCTCCTGAGCGCCCCTGGGCAGCCCTGCCTCGGCCACTCCCCACATCCCTTCCCACACCCCAGCACCTTCCCATGCAGATGCCGCGCTGAGCCTTAGTGCTCGGCCTTCCAGGAGCTTCAGACTGTTGGTGGGATTGTCACTCATCTACAGTTGAGGAAACGAGACCGGGAAGGAGGAGCTCGCTCCGGCCTTGGCGGGCCGAGCTGGGCCCGACTCCTGACAGTGAGCCTTTCCGTTCTCCTGGCCCGGTGGCGCCGCTCATGAGCAGGCTCCCTCCTGCCTGCCCCACACAGCCGTGTGCCCTCGAGGGGGCCTTTCCTTCTTAGCGTTCCCCTCGGGGGTCTGTGGGCCGAGTGTTAGGAGATCCGCCTCTTCCTGGGCCCAGAGGGAAGCTCCGGGGGCTGAGTCCCACACGAGGGGCGCCTTCTCCATGCCACAGAATGTGGTTCTTGCCACTCTCTCACCCCAGCCTGGACCTGCAGCCAGTGGGCCATAGCCCTGAGCTGGCCAGGCGGCCTGGGCACAGCCTCCCCTCCCGGACAGCTGGGGCAGGGACGCGCTCAGAGTTAACTGGGCGTCCTTAGGGCCGGGGGCAGCCAGACAGCATCTAGAGGGGTTGGTGAAGTTCACGTACTTGCCCCTCCGGGCCCGTGAGACGAGGCCTCGAGGGCATCTCCCTGTTACAGCAGTGGCTTCACACCTGCAGCCCCCGAGCTGACCCTGGCGCCCTTGGGGCTTTGGAATCTGGATTCTAGGCCAGCCTTGCAGGGGCTTCTGGTGTGGCTGTCGTCGCGCCCACTTCTGGGACTCGGGCTGGGCCCTAGCTCATGCTCTGGCCCCTCGAGCGGGCCGCACACAGCTCTTCTCTCAGGAAGGCTTTGCCTGCTGTGACGTGGGAGCCCGCAGGCCACGTCGCCTCAAGCTCCGGAGGTGAGAAGACACCACTGTGTCCTCCGTGAGTGGCACGTGGGGACGGGGCTGTCTTTACACATCAGCGACACTGCTGCAGGTTCGGTTCCCTTACGAAGATCACACGGGACCAGCAGTTGTAATGGCTATGTCGCTGGACTCCCACGTAGTCAACCGCAGTTTGAGTCCTAAACCCGGTGGCTTAAACTCACGCCAGGCGCGTGTGTGTGTGCCCAAGATCCCAAGAGGAGAATGGAGGAGAAGGGATTGTGGCGTGACCATCCCCCCTGGGGGGTGATTTCTCGCTTTCTGTCTCTCTCTTCCTGGTGAGCGCACGTCCCCTATAGCAAAAACCTCTCAGAAAAAGAAAGCGTCTGCTTGACAGAGACTCCGCCACTCCAGAACACTCCCCCAACGGGCAGGCATCGGGAACAAGTATTGGCCTCAGTTCAGAATCCTCCTAAGCACAGTGTCAGAAGAAGACGACACTGGCCGTAACCTGACCCTCCGAGGACAGCCCCCTCCCGTTTCAGTGTGTTTTCCTCCTCTTCTCACTTATCCATATACTTTTCATAAAAACCGAGTTACTCTGTTTTGAAATGTTTTTCTCTCTTCTGAAGTTTAGTCTCCTCCATGAACAAGAGAGACACAGGCACCCCCAGTAAAGCCTTATGCCACAGTCCAGCCCAGGCCGGTGACCCGAGGTTCCTGGCACGTGCCTGGCGTGCTCAGGGAGGGCCCCAGACAGGAGACTGCCCCCAGCGGGTCAGCCTTGCAGAGCCTGGAGACAGCAGTGCGCCGGCCGGCCCTGGTCTCTGCCCCGTTCTGTGGGGAGAACTGTGACCCCCCCCCCACCGTCCCCGCTGTTCCGAGCAGTGCTGGAGTGAGGAGCATGAAGTTGAATCTCCACAGCATCCTTCATCCTTTACTTCCTTAAGGTGACCCCGCCCCGTGCTCTGATTGCCCCCCCAGGGGTCCCCAATCACTGTGATGACGAGTCCTCACCCCAGCCCTAACACTGTGGGAATGGCTCGAGGACACCCTCGCAGTGCCCCGAGGAAGGCGCTGTCGCCCCCATCCGTGGACACAGAAACAGGCTGGAAGAGCAGGGCCTCCCCCGTCCTGGACCCAGGCCGTGTGACACTGCTGCCTCCCCCTGGGCCCCTCGGTGTGGCCTCGTCCACCCGGCTGGGACTCACCTGGCTTTGGCCCTTCCCGTACAGGTATTCCGAATAAAGGCCGTCAAGCTGGGAGAGAAACTGCTGCCGGCCTTCAACACGCCCACAGGGATCCCGAAGAGCGTGGTGAACTTCAAAAGGTGAGATGCCCTGCCGGCCCCCACGCGCGGCTCTGGAGACATCTGTGCCCACCACGTGTGGGCCACGTGGGAGGCTCTGAGCACTTAGGTGTGGGAACGGGCCCTTGGATCACTTTCGTGAAGGCTGCTCTCTGCAGCTGTGAGTACCGAGGCAGGGGACAGGACAAGTCTGCACAGTGACACCTGGCTGTTCCCAGGGTGCTCCTGGGCAGGTGTTTGCCCGCAAAGCTGCTCCTCAGGGTTTGGCCAGCCAGGCCTGAGCTCCCTAGGAGGGAAAGGGCAGCTGCTCCTCCGTGGACATCCCACGGCATTGCTGGTCAGAGCCCTGTGGGTCGGCCCCAGGCACCTCCCTTCCCTCCAGCCGGGGCTCTGGGGCCAGTAGGCACATCTCACACCCCCACCATGAGGGGCGCCAAAGCTGCTAGGGCCTCTCAGGACCCTGGCCCATCCTGGACAGGAACCTGCTCTTGAGGGACCACTGGGGGATTTACAGGAGACATGGCCAATCCACAGGCAGCTACTAGTCCCCAGGGCCAGCCTTGGGCCCTTGGCCTTCCTGGTTCCATCTCCCGAAGTGACCTGTCACCCTAGGGCTTCTCGGGACAGGGCAGGGCCAGGCTCTGACCAGGGCACCCGCAGGCCCCTCCGTCCTAGGCCTAAACGGCCCCATGGCCCGTCTCGGCCTTGCACATACTCGGCATCTGTATGGACTGCTCCCAAGGTGGGGTCCCCTGAAGTTTCCCGCAGGCCAGGACAGGCCTCCGCGGCCTAGGGAAGTGGGATTGACTCCCTGGAGCGACTCGAGCTCCTTTTCCGCAGACCGGTCCTGGGGAGTTGCAGCTCACTCTAATGCCACCGTCGCTGCAGTGCCTCCCGGCTCCCTGCTGGGTTCTGGGGCAGGGCCTCAGGGCACCCGTCCCTGACCTGTACCTGCCCTGTGTCGGCCCTCCCTGTGTCCCTTGGAGCAGGGTCTGATCCGACAGATCCCAGCATTCCTGACCAAGCAAGCGTGTTTAGTTTTAGGCTGCACGCTGCCTGTGCTGTATGCATGTGTGTGTCCGCGCCCGCAGTAGCCTGTGCTGTATGCGTGTGATGTCCGCGCCCGCGGTAGCCTGGGCTGGG